GGTTAACGGATTCGCCGCTTCATTTTTTTCTGATTTGACAATAAAAATAAAAATTAATTCAGAATCAACTGCAAAATGCTCATATGTTGCCCTGAACAGTTGAAAACAGCCCTTTTCTTACTACTTGTTACAGTCATTCCATCTTTCAATGCAGTGGTATCATTAAAAGTTCAAAATTCATTGTTTAAATTTTGAATCAGCCTGGTGTGTTGACTTCATGGCTCCTATCGTACCATTTTGGGCCATAATAGGATGCCTAGGCCTGTTTTTTTTTTTTCGCCCGCCCGCTCCATTATTTTTCTAGAAAAATCCGTTAACCAAGAAGTTAAATTGGTGTGGCCTTAGGCCATGTTGATTTGATTATATGGATGACATAGGACTGCGCAACGAAGAGAGAGCTGAGCTTTATAAACTGTTGCAATATATGTTTCCCCATTTCATACATCTTAGCAACAAAGATAAGTTCATATTTCTAATGGCTTTAGACAAACCTTCGATTATAAAACACATTCTGTACTTATATCTACATCGTTACTGAAGATATAAGTAAGAAGCTAGAAGAAGCCAGATTATCGTAATTATTAGACTATACATGTATGTCCATAGTACATAGAATTAGCATTAGCTTGTACATTGTATATATTCATTGCAAACTGTGACGTCTTTTCTGTGACCTGTACTGAACCCAGTGGGTATTTGCGTATCGTTCGTTCGTTCATTCATTCGTTCGTTCGTTCGTTCCTTCGTTCATTCATTCATTCATTCATTCATTCATTCATTCATTCATTCATTCATTCATTCATTCATTCATTCATTCATTCATTCATCAATTTTCGTCCGTTTTCCAGAAAAAAAGTTTTCAATCAAACTGTAAATCATACAAAGCAGCAGTAGAATGAGCAAACTTATGAAACCATGGTAACAAACAATGCAGTTTTGGTTGCTGTATGGTGTCAAACATCAAACTCGTAAAGGATTTTCAACAACACATTTCATCACAACATTTACCATAAGGCCACACCAATTTGATTCGTTGGTTCTCAGATTTTTATGGCAATTCAAACAATGAATTTCTAACTTCGAATTCAAACCACTGCATTGATAGATGGGAAAACTGTAACAACTCTGAAGCGAAGGAAAACTCCTTCAACTGTTGGGGAATTTTGAGCATTTTGGAGTTGATTCAGAGCCTGAAAATTTTTCTTTTCAAATAAGAATCCATTATCGAACAATCTGTGAACCAACAAATTAAATTGGTTTGGCCTATGCATTAATGAGAAGTGAACAGAATGAATACATGTAGCTGTGAGCCAGCCTGGGGTAGGCAGGGTTAGTGGAAATGTTAGTGGTACATTTCTTTGGCAGCCAAATTTCGGTGGCATATTGTACACTGCCCCGCCAATGTTACTGTCTTAATTGCCAAGTTTTGATGCTGCCTTGCTGCTGCCAAAAGATCTTCTTGGAGATTTGGGAAAAAAGTTTGTTAGCAGAACGTACTGCACCTGTGCGAAACCCGTAATGTACTGTGCATAGCACTTCAGCAGAACGTCTCATATAAGGCCGTATTCGTGCATATAAGGTTAAGACTCCGTCTGTAGTTTCCAAATGTTATGTCAGAAAAAATGTTGTCTGCAACAGGCAAAATTCTGATGCAATGTTGACCAAACATCCAACGAAGACCGTGAAAAGTTGGGGTTTCGCGCATGCACAGTGCGCTTGAAAAAGTCCTTTCTACATAGCGCAGTAAGACTCTACAATGACAGTGACAATGGCTGATATTTGAAAACCTATGTCAGTTATTACCTGTTGTAGAGTGAATGGTGTTTGCACATATTTGTATATAGTGTGTTTCTGTGTACCTGTCCTGTCTTGTTTTTTAACCAATTGTAAAAATCGAATACATGTACATAATTCAGGGGTGCATTAGCATTCCCTGCTTTTGTTGGATTGAATAAATTGAAGTTGACATTAAATGAAATTGAAATTAAATTCTACCGACGTGCTGGGTTAGTGGAAGTGTTAGTGGAAATGTTAGTGGAGTATTAAAGTACCTTGGACAGCAGCCACCGTCCCCAGCTGAACTTGGTCATGACCCCAAAGACCACACCAGCGACCATCAGTAACACCAAGTACCTGAACACCGGAACACAGAAGTACGCACCAAACTGCACCTGAGGAAATCACAGCGAGAGGAGACAGGGTGTGACAAGCCGCAAGTCGTGCTAGCGTGATACTCTGAGATGAGCTGGACATGTTGGACATTAGTAGCCTGGGTACTTGCATGCCGGGGCTCCCATACTAAGGAGCAAGTATGGAAGCCCCGGCATACAAATAGGATGGCACCCAGTCTAGGACATTAGCTTCCATGTAGGATTGTGTGGGTCTGCAATCTAGATTTCAAGATCCGTGAATAGTTTCATCAAGTTGTTAGGTCACTGAATAAAAAGCCTTCCTTTTACGTATAATTATGTAACTATGTAAATACTTTGCATTTGGAGACTAATTTTTACGTTCACTGTAACTGTGTAATTTGGTTGGTAAAATTGGGAATTGAGCCATCCTGTTTGTTTGTTTGTTTGTTTGTTTGTTTGTTTGTTTGTTTGCACAGTAAATTGAGATTGACTGACAGTATAGTATATAGCTGTGTAATGTATGTATCAAAAACTTTACATTTGGATCCCATCTGTAAAGGTGTAACAACACCTGTGCTGTGCAACATGATGTGAACCAGTCAGAACTGCCCTGAGCAAGTTGACAAACGGTCACCGAAAAGTCGGCCAAATAAAACACTGTCTTGGTTGCGTAAAAAAGAGATTAGGTTTCAACATTTTTTGCATAGACTTCAAGATGTTTGCTTGTGACAAATACAATACAAATAATGCATGAGAATGGTGCAAAGATATGCTGTTTTGTTATTTGCTGTTTTGTCATTATTGTACCATTGTACGTACATTATATATACTCCTCTTTGTCAGTTGGTGGGGCTAAGATAAGCAACCTGCTAGAGTTACCCACAGTGACTACTGTGTCCTGGAAGTTTCTATGTTGCTCAATAAAAAGAAAAAAAGATACAGTACACAGACACCCAGTAATGTTCCTCATATAAATACTGTTTTTATTTGTTTTGTGATTTTAACGATTTTAGATATTTTAAGCGAATCAATATTGCCTGCCAATTTGTACGCGAGTCTGTCAATATTCAGCCTGTTGGCTGCTATTTGACTTGTCTTTGATTTTAGTAATAAACCAGGAACCCACATGGAAGCTAAGGTGACCAGGAAAGAGTAACACCAGTATGTGTCAGCCGGAATGTCCGAGCACATCTCAGTAACTAGTGTTGTCTACATCTCACCAGGAGCCAGACAGGGTCAAACAGAACCACACGTTTCTGATAACATTCAGCTGGCAACAACGTCTACATCACAGACTCCGAGTTAGGAAAAAATGTAATTGTGTTTCCTGTTTCAGTCCTGAAAAAATAAGGGTAAGTACTTTTTGTAATAAGGGTAGGTACGTAGGAATTGTGGGGTTTTTTTTTTTTTGGTCTTTCTTTTTTTTTTAGACTTTGGCAGTGTCAAGTGATACAATTTTTGTACAATGCAGTTTAGCAAAGTCCATGAGGACACCCATATTTTCAGTGTCAATGTTGGAAAAGCGTCATTTGTATAACATTTCATCACTCAGGTTACTAGGTGTCAGATTATGGAGCTAGAAAAGGTCGATCAGCTCAAAAAAAGGTATGTCCCTTGCAGGGATCCACCCCAAAAAAAGGCTGCGGTCGGCAATTTTTTTTCTATAGTCGGTCGGGAAAACAGGAAACACAACATTTTTTTTCCTAGGCCTTCTCACAACCGTTGCTCCCGGGGACAATTTGGAACAAAAAAACGGGGCTTAAAATGCTTTGGCTGGTTCCTGGTGAGATGCAGTACTGGGAGGTTAAGAGAGTTGGGCATGTATGGCGCGCCCCCGCGTGCCGCAGCGTTTCAAGTACCAGACCCTCCGTGGCGGCAACACGTCGGGTTTTTTCCCTCCTACCTCCTCCAGCAAGCCGAGTCCGAACTCCGTGTCGGCCAGACCGGTAACCACCTTGGACGCTGCCTGGAACTTGAAGAGGTCTATCCGATCCGGAATGCTGACGTAGGCTGCGTATTGCACCTACATTTTAACACATCTGTCAATTCTTGTGGCTTCGTGTTGACTTTTGGCTGCGTATTGTACCTACATTTGAACACATCTGTCAATTCCTGTGGCTGCGTATTGCACCTACATTTTAACACATCTGTCAATTCCTGTGGCTGCGTATTGCACCTACATAACACATCTGTCAGGCTGCGTATGTCCTACATTTTAACACATCTGACAATTCCTGTGGCTGCGTATTGCACCTACATAACACATCTGTCAGGCTGCGTATGTCCTACATTTTAACACATCTGACAATTCCTGTGGCTTCATGCAGACTTTTGGCTGCGTATTGCACCTACATCATCTGTCAATTTCTGTGGCTTCGTGGTGACTTTTGGCTGCGTATTGCACCTACATTTTAACACATCTGTCAATTTCTGTGGCTTTGTATGGTCTGGAGGGTTTCCAGCTTCTTGGGGGAGCAGATTCTAAAACAAATTCTTGATTCTTCTAGAAATTTTGCCATATTTGTTTGTTTCTTGTATTATTTGTATGTTTTCAATGTTGAAATAAATAAATAAGAGAAGTGACAATTGCAACGAAAGGAAGTTTACCGGGAAGTTTACTCCATTGTTGTAGAGGAATTTCTGTGTTCTTCTGACCGCCGAAGCTAAAAAATGTAGCTTTTTGAAAACTCAATTTTACTGAATTCTAAATCTGCATGCACATAGTATAGGATTAGGAGTATAGAACTATGACTCTGTTTTGACGCATCAGACTTTTATGTTTACTGTATGTTGTCCACTCTTGTTTTACTGGATGTAACAATGTCTTGTGTAATGTTGCTGGCCCCCCTTGGAAAACAGCTGATGCAAGCTAAATGGGGCTACCCAGCCGTCCTATGATGAAATAAATGAATAAATAAGAGAAGTGTCAACGAAAGAAAGTTACCGGAAAGTTCTCTCCGTTGTTGTAGAGGAATCTCTTGTGTTCTTCTGACCACCGAAGCTACAAAATGTTGCTTTTCAAACTGAATTCTAAATCTGCAAGCACATCTGAGTAATCTAGCTTTGTGAAGAGAGGTGATAGCAAAGGAAATCTACCGGAAAGTTTACTCCGTTGTTGTAGAGGAATCATTGTGTCCTTCTGACCACCGAAGCTACAAAATGCAGCTTTTCATAAACTCAAACTGAATTCTAAATCTTTCACAATCTTTCTATCTGAAGAGAAGTGACAACAAAGGAAGTTTACCGGGAAGTTCTCTCCGTTGTTGTAGAGGAATCTCTGTGTTCTTCTGACCACCGAAGCGTCTGCCCCAGGGAAAGGCACGCACCACTTCTGCATCATCTCACTCCAGTGGGCCGGACCTCTGAAACACGGCAGGACAGTTTTATTCAAAGATAAATCAAACTCAACTAAACAGGCTGGATAAACAGAGATAAATTCTGGACATTTTAAGTGGCATCCGGCACTCTTCTTCTTGTTACCTACGGGTAGGGATGTATCCCTGCGCGGACGGGTTTTGTGGGAGACAAAGCTTTTTTACGTTCGCAGCCGTTTCTCACGTTTGGGTGGACGGATATTTCTGGGACTTGGTATACGTTTTGCTATTGGGCTGTAGATGGTGCATGTTGTTTTGCTTTTTTAGTATGTGTGTTTTAGTGCGTGAAAATGATGCGTTTTGACAAAATTCAACACCATCAACTATACATAACAAACAACATGGAAAAATATACAATAAAAGCCCGGAGGTATAAAATTTCAGATTTTACTTGTCTTTGAATATTGTTTCACCAGTCCTGGATGTCTAACTTACTGTACGTGTACATCAAAGTATGCAGGACAGTTTTGTTTTTCATAGCAATGGTTTCTGAACATTTCTAGTTTGATACATTACTTCTGAGATTCTTCCTAGATTTTGAGTGTTGCAGGTAAATATATCTGGTGCAGGTGATTTTCAATGTTATCTGCACCAGTACAGGCACATGTTTGCAGGAAAAAGTATATTTTAAGCCCTGACAGTCCATTCTAACACTTGAAAATGGTGGCCAGTGAATTAAGTATTACAGTAAAAATGTTGAGAAGCGGTTATGTACCCAAGTGTCTCCAAGCACTACATGTACACAGCTAGCAAGCAGACAAGAAGACCCATCATCATGAAAGTTCATCTGTGTTGGTAGTATATATATATATATATATAATTATTATATAATCATAGTAAAACATTGAACTTTATTCCAACACAAGGGTTACAGAGCTCTCGCGAGATCACGTTGTGAAGTGATTGGTCATTAATTATCCAGATTTTTTTTTTTTTTTCTAATCAGTGCAAAGTGAACCTGGTCTTAACATCGTATATCGATGATTTTCGGTTCAATATAATGTCACATCAATGAGATGAAGGCGACAGTTGTCGTCGAAAATTTGATCGCTCTGTAACCCTTGTGTTGGAATAAAGTTCAGTGTTTTACTAAGAAGACCCATCCTTTATATACCAGCCAGGTTAGGACGAGGGGGCCGTTAGTACGTGCCATAACCTTAACTCACTTTGGCAGTACTCAATAACGTTCTAACTGCTCCCATCTTCTGAAGTCATTCTAGATGTCCATTTTCACATACGATTTCCTGTTCAACCTTATTGTCTAATCTATCTAACTCTCCCTGTGCCACCTTTAGCTCCCTTATAGCTTCAGGCATGACATCCTTTTCTACATTATCAGGACAAATCTGTAGCCAGGGTTCAAAGAACCCCCCCACAAGGCTCAAAGGTCCACTTTTTGGTCCACTTTTTATCTAAAGGTCCAAGATTTCTCTTTACATGGACGGATTTGTATCATCAGCAGACCTGGAATCGTATAAAAACTGCCCACTTTGTCATTGAATACTTTGCCTACTTTGGTAATGTCTTACCTGTCGTTTAAGAAGGTTCTGAAACAACACTGCTGACCTCTGACCTTGGCCTGGCTTAACGACACTGATTTACGGTTGACGATTTTGTTTTGACGCTGGGTTGTTTTGTAACTTTATGTATTGTTTAATGTGTTGGTTTCATTGTTTTCATGTGTAACTTGTTGTGGGTACAGGGCATTTATGAAAAGCAGTGTTTTTAAATAGCACTGAGGTCTCTACCCTATTTAAATAAAACAGAAATAATAATAATAATAATAATAATAATAAAGGAGACCTACTCAAGTACAAGTACATACATGTAAGTCTGAGTACCATTAGACAAGGCAACAAACCTGTTCTCCAGTTTGGGTCCAGACTTGGGAAGGGGTTTCTTGGTGCCCATATCCTTTCGCAGTTTTTTCAACTCCTCTGCGTTGGCCAGACCATGGATGGCAGACTGCCATGTCGCGTAATGTCCCACCGCTCCCTGAAATAACATTAAGAAACATTTTAATGCATCATTCAATGCGTCAGTGAAGGTTAGACATCTGGGCAATAAGAAACGCCAATAAACAATTACTCAAGCAACGTTTCAGGAAGCATCCAGTACCTTTCATCAGTGACACTGGAGAATTCTCAGAAAAGCAGGTTTATATTATATTAAGCACAAACTAACTTCTTCCAACAAACGAACATAGTTTATGCTTATAAACCTGCTTTTCTGACAACTCTCCAGTGTCACTGACGAAAGGTAGTAGATGCTTCCTAAAACGTCTGACCATTTCCAAAATAATATCCAGTTGCTTCAGTAACTGTTTATTGGTTAGTCGCTCTAACGTGTCAATCCTGGTTGTAGCTCTTAACATATAACACAATAGCAGGACCAACAAATCAGCATGTATAACATGATAACGTTATAACCATCATCAATTTAACGGATTTTGATAATTGAAGAAGAGACTTGCTCAGAACTGAAGCATCTAGAATGAAAAAAAACTAATATTATGTAATAATTATAATTCATAGTCCTTTTTGACTTACAAATTCCCAACACTATGGTAACATCCGTGTCCATAATATCACCAGGGTCCATAATATCGCCACCTTGAGAAAAAGTGTGCTTAAAGATATTTTTACTGCAACATACCCTAGGTATGTACATTTGATGTGTGCAGGAGTGCATACCAAAAGTATGTTGCAGTAAAAATATCTTAAAGCACACTATTTCTCAAGGTGGCGATATTATGGACCCTGGTGATATTATGGACACGGATGTTAATTGAAGACACTAAAAACACTAAAATGAGTAATGAGCACATTTCCATTCCATTGGAATAAAGCACAACACACCTCAAAGGTATTAAAAATGCCCCCCCCCCCAGCCTAAGGGCCCTCCTTCTGACAAATGACAGCAATTTTACTCTGAAATTGGTTCTGCATAGAAACCATTCCCCACACCAGATATAGCCTCTTATTACTGCCGTCGCAAAAAAAATGGAATGTGCTTTTCAGTGTTCCTGAAGTTATGGTCTGTTTTCCGAAGAAGGTGAGGGTTGTGGAATGGACCAGACTATCTAATGGGTCAGACTGTTCAACAGCTTATATGTTGATATTAGGCCACACCAATTTAATTTGTTGGTTCTCAGATTTTTTCAGAAAAAATATGAAGCGACAGGGGAAAAAAAAAGGCCAAGGCACCCCATGAAGGCCAGAAATGTTACAATATGAGCCATGAAGTCAACACACCAGGCTGGTTTATGATTAAAACAATAGATTTTGAACTTTTGATGAAACAAAATTGCATTGTTACATTGAAAAACTTTAACAACTAGGAAGATCAGTTGATTTAGAACCAAAAAAAAGCAAATCAGAAAAAAATGGACAGGGCAAATCCAAGAAACAACAAATTAAATTGGTGTGGCCTTATGTTGGCAAGATGACAAGGGCCCTACAATAAATTATATAGCTTGAGTAACTGCACTTGCATTGGCAATTTGTTTTGCTTGGTTATAAAGTAGACATCTTGCTGTAGATATTTTGGAACATTCCAATATCAGAACATATCAGGGTTCGAAATTAATTTTGGGTAATAGGTGCACTGGTGCACCCAACGTATAAATTTAGGTGGACAAAAAATTTTTTGGGTGCACCATATGAAACAAAACCTAAATAATTTGCAGGTCTTACTGCTCCTCTTCTGAGCTTGAATCTAAAATAAGAGCTAACTTCAAAATCTTTAACATTACTACAACAAAGATTTTATTATTTTTCTGATACTTAGAGACCAAGAATATCCGGTATACTATTATACACTTCTAGTGTTAAAAATTCCTACAAAAATATTCGGGTGCACCAATGCACCCACAGAAAAAAATTAGGTGCACAACTCCAATTTTGGGTGCACTAAGGTGCACATGCACCCGGTATTTCGAGCCCTGCATATACATGTATATTGATTAAGCATAAAAAACCAAGACCTTACCTCAGGTCCAGCACTCAGGTTGAGATAGCTCTCCACAGAATTTATTCTGCCTGCAAGGAAAAAAATACTACAGTCAGGAATAACAACATATGTCATACTCAAAACTTTCCCTAGGCCACACCAATTTAATATGTTGCTTCTCGGATCGCCCTGTCCATTTTTTTCTGATTTGCACAAAAAAAAATTGGGAGGGGGTTCTAAATGAACTGCAAATGCTCAACATGAATTTCGAGCCCTGCTTTAAATTAGTGTGAATCAGTAGACAGGAGACTGATGGTGCCATGTTCTGTATGCTATAATATGTGATATACCCAGGAAACACTATCTACAGCAAACTGTGATGGTGAACATCTGTTCTATATATCAGAGATGTTGTTATTTGCTGCCCTGCCTGGTCCAGGGCCTAAAGACAGTGTCAGTATTCAACTGTGTTAAACTTGGACCAGATTAACCTTTGGAGGGGCAGTGATAGCAAATGCCATATGTTGTCTATACATGATGTAGTCTTAGTAACTTAACTCTTAGCTAAGGCAGCGGTTAGAGTGACAAACCAGAACTTTTATCACAGCAAAGCATCCACCTTACACAGAGATCATGGCCAGACAGAAATACCCAGTAATACACATGACATTGTGGGGTCGTGTGGCGCAGTCGGTAGCGCGTTCGGCTCACACCCGAGAGGTCGTGGGTTTGAACCCTGCCCATGTCACCGATCTTGTGCCCTTGGGAAAGGCACACCCCACGCACGTTAAAGAACCCACCGCACTTATTGAAAACAGTCTGGTCTCGGGGTTGACATCTTTGAAGAGGTGATAGTCACCTGTTATGTCAATCCTTCCACAAATGTGGTAAATCGTCATAAAATAAAATAAAAATAAAAAATAAAAACGTTGTACAGATATGGTGGGTATTTTGCATGAAAAAGAACTGTTACAATGAATACTAAATCATTTAATGCTAAATCATATCACAAGCTTTTTCAACAGTTCACTTATAGTCCTGCACAGAGGTGCATGTATAGATGGGGTGGGTATTTTGCATGATAAAGAATTGTTACAATGAATACATTTAATGCTACATCATATCATCAGAAGCTTTTTCAACAGTTCACTTACATGTATAGTCCTGCACAGAGGTGCATGTATAGATGGGGTGGATATTTTGCATGACAAAGAACAGTGAATCTGTGGATTTACATACATTTGTACATGTTTATGCTTCATATCAGGAGCTTTTGCAACAGTCAGGTACTTGAAATAAAAGTACTGTAACACATGATGTCATCTTGGGAAATGTGTACTTTCCAAACCTTGCCTTATCTGCGTTTCGCATCGTGCCCGGTTCATTGTGCACGTACTTTGTACTTTGCAGCAGAAATCAAGACGGAGGCTCGTCGTAACCGTTCCTGGCACCCGAAGTCAGGGGTAATATTTCACTTCAACTCCTCCAAAGACAAACTTTCAATACAGATGCAGGGTTATGAAATATGGGTGCAATATATAATTCCTGTTGGCCAATATTGCAGTCATTTCGTGTCAGTGCGGAGAGGTGTGAGTGAGCCAAAACGACGCACAGTTTCCCAGCAGGTGAAACCGTTCGCAGATGTTTATGATGTCATTTTTCCATCAGTCTGCCGATGTCTTCGGGTTCCCATCAACTCGGCAATAAGGCCTGGGAGGAGCAGGCTGCCAGGGCTGGAAATACTGGGTGCACGTGCTTAGTGCACGCAAGCCCTTTTCCGTAGAGCGTAATCGGTCGTTTTAATTCAACGTAGAGCGTAGACGGACCGCTCTAATATTTTCGCGTAGAGCGTATTCGGCGTTTTAATTCTATGTAATGCGTTGTAGCATTCGTTGAATCTATCGTTAAGTGTAATCGAGGGTTTCCGAATTCAGCGTAGAGCGTTGTCGGGAAATCCCCCCCCCCTGCAGGCCCTCCTTTAATAGTGCACACAAATTTGGAGCTTTTCTGTGGGTGCACCCAAATATTTTCATAGGTTTTCGTATGTAAAGATGTCAAATGTATAGTAGTAAACTTAACATCTAAGTATCATGAAAAAATTATAAAATCATTGTTGTAGACTACATGTCTTTAGAAATGAAACATAATTCGTTATTGCTGACATTCTAGTTATTCTATTTTATAATTATATGGTGCACCCCCAAAACTTTTGTGCACGTAATTTTTCAGGTTGGGTGCACCCAAAAATGAATTTCGAGCCCTTGGCTGGTGACTCTTGTGCTACTTTTCTTTAGAAATGAAACATAGTTAGTTTTTGTTGACATTCTAGTTATTCTATTTTATACTGTGCACCCAAAAAATGTTTCGTGCACCTCCCAAAAATGAATTTCGAGCTCTGTGCCGGTGACTTGAAGGCAGCGTTCCACACCTGAATGATCCAGTAGCCTGTACCATCACTCACTCAGTTCCTCAACTTCTCCACACCGGAAAAGGCCGGGTAATGTTCCGCTCGGTACATTAACCGTCGGCAACCTGACAGTTCGGTCTAGAGCCAGCTGAAAGTTTTATAAGGCCACAACAATTCATTTGGTGGTTCTCGGATTTTTTCAGAAAAAAACATGAAGCAACGGGGAAGAAAATAAAAAATAAAAACAGGTCTGGGTATCCTATTATAGCCCCACATGCTTTGATAGGAGCCATGAAGTCAACACAAAAGGCTGGGTTATTATTCCAACAAGGAATTTTGAACTTTACATCAAACCACTGCATCATTTATAGATGGAAAAACTGTAACAACTAGGAAGAAAAATGTCTTTCCTCAACGGTTGGGGGCAAAATATGAGCATTTTTCAGTACCAGAATCTTTTTTTTTTTTTTTACAAATCAGAAAAAAATGAAGAAGCAAATCTGAGAACCAACAAATTAAATTGGTGTGGCCTAACCGTCGGGAACCTGACAGTTCGGACTGAAGCCAGCTGAAAGTTTTATAACACTCATCAGCGTCTGTTCGCGGATTTACGATATGGAGAAAATTAAATGTTTATGAAGCGTAATATTGAGCTAGCTGCTGCTTAGATGTTTACTGCTTCTTGCACTGAAACTGGTCAGTTAAAGATTTGTTTTATATTCCTGTTTATTTTACTTTTTATTAGCTATTGTTAATAATATAGCAACAAGGATTCAATGTACAGATATGCTGCTATACAATGGTTTCCGAAATGTCAATCTTTAAAATGTAGACCAAACTGGTCAGTTAAAGATGTTTTTTTATATTCCTTTATTTTTCTTTTTATTAGCTGTTGTTAATAATGTGCACCCATCAGATGATGATGATGTTAAGAATGTATACTATAGTAACAAGAATGTATACTATAGTAACATAAATATAGTAAGAATGTATACTATAGTAACAAGGATTCAGTGCACAGATATGCTGCTGTACAATGTAGTCAGTTTTCTGAAAATGTCAAGCTGTGCAATGTAACATCCTTGTCCATAATATCACCAGGGTCCATAATATCGCCACCTTGAGAAATATTGTGCTTTTTAAAGCTTAAAAGTTAATTTTACTGCAACATACTTTTGGTATGCACTCCTGCACACCTCATATGTACATACCTAGGGTATGTTGCAGTAAAAATATCTTAGAGCACACTATTTCTCAAGGTGGCGATATTATGGACCCTGGTGATATTATGGACACGGATGGTAGACCTTATCTGAAATTTGTTGATAGGAGGGCCATGCATGATGTACATGTATGTTAGATTTTGCTGTTGTGTTAAGTGTTAGAAACATGTTGTTGTTTTTTTGCTTTTTCTTAATTGGTTGTAGTATTGAGCCTGATTTTATCCATCCCTTGGCTGTGAAAGATGAGATTGATGTAATAATAATAATAATGATAATAATTGAGCTGAAGTTAAATTAAGTGAAGTGAGTGAAATTTGCAAAGTCATGCCCAAATGCTAACTGTAGCATACAAACATAAAGAGAAACAATTGAGTATTCTATTCAAAACAATTGATTATCCTATAAAAATACAATCTAAACCTAATGCTGTTGGTGCATTATGGCATTCTTTTGTTATATAATGCTGTAGCCATTTTGTCCCAATATGTGAAGCTTCACAGCACAAGTGTGTACAGATATACTGTAGATTGTGTAGTGATTCAAGGGGTAAGGAAATTTCGTTCAAGCATTTTGATTAAAGCAAGGAGGTTAAAATTTAACCTCCTTGATGAAAGTTAACCGCGATGTTGTAATGGACATTAAAATGATTGGACAGTAATGGATGTTGGGTTCTTCAACATGACATTGTCGGCGATCAATCTCGCATGCATGGGTCGGTACGCTGAGTTAGGGCAAGATCAAGGTCACGCCGGTGGTTACATTAATACATGGATTCCGCATGTATTAAAACTAATGTTACGTTGCCCCATTCAAAACCAGATATCTTCAATATCCTTTCATGCCGTACTCAGTGTATGTTTACTCACACAGTTTTTTTTGCTTGGTACATATTTTTTATGTATTATAGTGTATATGAGGGTGTGTACATTGTATATATATATAGTGTCTGCTTTGCCTATTGTAACTTTTTTTTCTGTACGCAAACTCTTCCAATTCAGGGATTCTCATCCCTGCTGCAAGGTTTGCTTTTTGGTGTTGAAATAAATAAATAAAAAATATCTACAACACGTCAACAATAAGCCGTAGCCTAAACCTCTGCTTGGAGAGCGAACATCTGTATCAGTATCAGTATAGGCCGTATAACCGTATATTTGAAGACATGACTGTTTCTTGTTCTTTTCTGGGCTGGTATCAGATACTTAGTGGTTGGTACGTCCACCAGTTTATTAGTCATTTTGTACATCATGCACAGTCTGGACATTCTACGTCTGTCTTCCAGCGACCCCCACTGTAGGTTTCTCTTCATTTCCGTTACACTAGCATGTGCTGTTTCATTCCCTGCTCCATGCTCGGAATAAACTTATAAAGCTTACTCCTTTTGATGTTATCCTCTGGTATAAAAACTGCATAAAAGATTTGAGATATTCCGTCTGTAATGCCTGCCGGCTTCACTAGATGCATCACCTGTTATAATGATCATCATCTGTTTTAGTTACCTGCTCTATGGTACAGATATTCCATTATCTCAGAACTACATCTTTGCCTGCAGACATCTACTGTAACGTGATTGATAACATGGCCTATACACTTATATACTTATCATTGTCTAAGGAAGGTACTCAAACTACATGTACATCAGGGCTCGAAATTCATGTTTGGGAATAGGTGCACTAGTGCACCTATTTGAAGGCATGACTGTTTCTTGTTCTTTTCTGGGCTGGTATCAGATACTTAGTGGTTGGTACATCCACCAGTTTATTAGTCATTTTGTACATCATGCACAGTCTGGACATTCTACGTCTGTCTTCCAGCGAAGGTGCACTGGTGCACCTATCCTAAAAAATTGGGTGCACAAAATATGTTTCGGGTACTACAACAATGATTTTATTACTTTTCTGACACTTATAAGATATTAAGAATATACTGTATACCACTATACATTTAACATCTTTACATATATATGTAAACCTACAAAAATATTTCGGTGGACTGGTGCACCCACAGAAAATAATTGGGTGCACAGCTCCAAATTTGGGTGCACTCAGGTGCATATACACATACACCCAGTACTTTGAGCCCTGCATGTATACTTGATCAGCACATTGGCAGAACGTACTGCACCTGTGCAAAATCCATACTGTATAATGCATAGCACTCCAGCAAGACGTTTCATATAAGGTCGTATTTGCGCATATAACGTTAACAATAACATCCCGTCTGTAGCTTCCAAATGTTATGTTGGAAAAAATATTGTCTGCAAAAGGCAAAATTCTGATGCAACGTTGACCAAACATCCAACGAAAAATCTGGGTTTCACACAGGTGCTGTACGTTCTGCCGACGTGCTCATTTGATCATATCTGACATGTCTGATCTGTAGTTGGAAACAGGCAGCATAATTCTGCATATTAGGCCACACCGATTAAATTTGTTGGTTATCGGATTCCCCTCTTCAATTTTTTCTGATTTGCAAAAAAAAATTCTGGTTCTGGATCAACTCAAAAATGCTCAATATTTTGCCCTCCCCCCCCCAACAGTTCAAGAAAGTCATTTTCTTCCTAGTTGTTACAGTTTTTCCATCTATCATTGCAGTGGTTTGATTAAAAGTTCAAAATTCATTGTTTAAATATCAACACAGCCTTTTCTGTAATAGTATGCGTAGACCTGTTTTTATTGTTATTTTTTTTTCACCCTGTCGCTTCATATTTTTTCAGAAAAAATGCAAGAACCAACAAATTAAATTGGTGTGGCCTTAAAGTCTGCCTCACCACAAATGTACATGTACATAATTGATCAGAAATATACATGTACTAGTAAAGAGGTTTATCATAATGATTGATGATTTGATAACATGAGTACAAAATTTATGTACAATTAGAAATACTTCAGAATGACATTGCCAGTAGCAAGTATCAAGTTATTAGATTTTTATTGCAAAAATGTGATACCAGAAGAAACTGATTGTACTAATAGACAAATGTCATCAAAACACATTTATACTGCTGTCAACATTTGCGGCAATACGTTTGGCGAGTTGAAAACCATTACTTAAGATTACCCTAAGGCCACACCAATTTAATTTCTTGGTTAACGGATTCGCCGCTTCATTTTTTTCTGATTTGCAAATAAAAATAAAAATTCAGAATCAACTGCAAAATGCTCATCTTTTGCCCTGAAAAGTTGAAAACAGTCCTTTACATCCTAGTTGTTACAGTTGTTCCATCTTTCAACGCAATGGTATCATTAAAAGTTCAAAATTCATTGTTTAAATTTTGAACCAGCCTGGTGTGTTGACTGAATGGCTCATATCGTACCATTTTGGGCCATAATACGATGCCTAGGCCTGTTTTTATTTTTTTATTTTTTTCGCCCGCCCGCTCCATTATTTTTCTTCAAAAATCCGTTAACCAAGAAATCAAATTGGTGTGGCCTTAAGATTACCCTAAATCAAGGAAATGTTGGGCCTTTTTCAAAAGTCAAGATCCATGATTCATTACATCATAATATGATGCCACTCTGCATTCTGTTGTTGTAGAGCAGTCTTTCATGCAATGTTCCACTATAAAGATCAGGTACACTGTTTTTTTTATTTTTTTTTATTAGACGTCTGTTTATACAAATCATGGAAACAAGTACATATACATACACAACTACTTTTAACAAAAACTTTTACAGCCATATCCCCAAACTACACGGACCAATCACAAAGATAAAAACTAAAAGATGATGTCTAAATCACTTAGACACAACAGGTCTTTAGACTGCCGCAGATATCACAGATGAAGTTTCTTGACATTGTTGTAGAATGAAGCTTAACTCTCTATGTACAATAAAGGTTTGTTTAATTCATACCCTATTAAAGCCCATATCAGGTACACTGTTATTTGTCAACCAATATTGGTTTTTACACAAAATATCAAAACCTGCTCCCTATTATCGCCAGCTACATGTTGTACCATTGGCTATAGAGGATGCCCGTAGCCAGGGGGGTTCAGGGGTTCGGAAGAACCCCCCACAAGGCTCAAAGGTCCACTTTTTGGTCCACTTTTTATGTAAAGGTCCACTTTTATGTAAAGGTCCAAGATTTTTCTTGAAAAGATGGACTGGAATCGTAGAAAAACTGCTCCCTTTGTCATTGAGTAAAAATTTATCTCTGATTTTTTCTTGGAAATCCTCTCAAAAACACACGAAATGCCATTTTAGAAGGTTCATTTTTCAAAATTTCCAGGAGGAGCATGCCCCCGGACCCCCCTAGGAACCTCGACGGCGCTGGAGGTCCCACGAGCAGTGGGAAGAACCCCCCCATTCAAAATCCTGGCTACAGGCATGTAGAGGATGGCACCAAGGCCAGAGCCTATGAGGACGTGATCTTTTTTCTTTTTTTGAGAACAGGCGAAAATCAACGTGCGCGCAGATATCATAAAATTAAATCAGTGTATTGTGCAAGCACTCGGAAGACGGGGAACAACAGACGATAAACCGGACAGTGAGTGAGTGAGTGTGTGAGTCAGGCTGCCATCAAGCCCCAGTATTGCTGTGCAAGCACGTCTAACCCTCGGAAGACAGGGAACAACAGACAATAAACCGGACAGTGAGTGAGTGAGTGTGGCCTTACGGGGAACAAAAGGAGAGTTAGAGAGAGTTCCAGTCTTACCTGGGAAGTTCTTGACGGTGTAGAGCACCCCCAGGTCTGCAGGAACACTGTCAAACCCACAGCACTGCAGGACGTACACTCCCTTCTTCTTAGCCTCCTCATCATACTTAAACTGCATCGACTCCAGAAACTGGGGAGGGACAACGGCACAGAAGATTCAAATCATGTAACAGTAAGGTAATGTTGCAGTAGTTCGTGCTTATAAACCTGCATTTCTGACAAGGGTGTACAACTTTTTTTTTCCTAGGCCTAAGGCCACACCAATTTAATTTCTTGGTTAACGGATTTTTCTAGAAAAATAATGGAGCGGGCAGGCAAAAAAAAAATAACATAAAAACAGGCCTAGGCATCCTATTATGGCCAAAAATGATACGATAGGAGCCATGAAGTCAACACACCAGGCTGGCCCAAAATTTAAACAATGAATTTTGAACTTTTAATGATACCATTGCATTGAAAGATGGAATAACTGTAACAACTAGGATGAAAAGGACTGTTTTCAACTGTTCAGGGCAAAATATGAGCATTTTGCAGTTGATTCTGAATTTTCATTTTTATTTGCAAATCAGAAAAAAATGAAGCGGGCGAATCCGTTAACCAAGAAATTAATTTGGTGCGGCCTAATATACTTAAACTGCATCGACTCCAAAAACTGTGAGGGACAATGGCACAAACGGTTAACATCATGTATCAGTAAGTTCTGAAAATAGTTTCATCAGGTTGGTGGAGTATAGAATATAGTGGTTTTCTTTTACACAACCACTATTGTCTCCTACCTCAGGCCACACCAATTTAATTTGTTGGCTCTCGGATTCGCCTCTTCATTTTTTCTGATTGATATTTTGCGAAAAAAAAAATTCTAAATCAACTAAAAAATGCTAAATCGACTAAAAAAATTGTCAGACTAAAAAAATGCTCAGACTCTCTGACAGATATTTTGCCCCCAACAGTTGAGGAAAGTCCTTTTCTTCCTAGCTATTAATGCTGATCAAAAGTTCAAAATTCATTGTTTATATATCAACCCAGCCTTTTGTGTGAATCTATGGCTCCTATCATTGCATTTGGGGCTATAACAGGATGCCTAACCCTGTTTTTATATTTTTTTCGCTCTCATATTTTTTCTGGAAATTTTTTCTGGAGAACCTTAGGCCACACCAATTTAATTTGTTGGTTCTCGGATTCGCCTCTTTGTTTTTTTCTGATTAAAAGTTCAAAATTCAATGTTTAAATTTTAACCCAGCCTTTTGTGTTGACTTCATGGCTCATTTCATAGCATTTAAGCCTATAATAGGATGCCTAGACCTGTTTTTATTTTATTTTTTTTCGCCCTGTCGCTTCATATTTTTCTGACAAAATCTGAGAACCAACAAATTAAATTGGTGTGGCCTTACCGAATAAAAATTTGAATTTGAATTTGAGATATCCTCTGTCTGGTGGCAGTGAATCACACTAAGCCCTACTGTGACAGAAAGGAACGTCAGAATCATAAAAGAAGAGGCAGCGCCTCTCCCCAGCTATCTCCATCTATCTGTTGTCCCGTGGGACTAGTTTACACGTGGCGCGTGTGTTATCTCTCCCTGCAGCACGGCGTATCTCTCCCTGCAGCGGGATAGCCGCCATCCGTGGGGACCGACACATTGTCTTCTGTCGTGTCGTTAAAAGCTTACAGAACTGTTCCTGTGTTAGACGTATTTTGTTTTATGTTAGGCCACAGCAAGTAAATTTTATGGATGACATCAGCACGGCCATTCATTTTTGCCTGATTTTTGGGGAAAAAAACAAGAAATTTTGTTACTATCTGACAGTGGTCAACATGCCGCAAAATGGGCATATTTTTCTGTTGCCATGCCGGAAGGTGGATGGCGGATAAATATGAAGAGGTGCCACACAACCCCACACCTTCTTGGCGAAGGTAATTACAGTAAAGAAAGCAAGCGTGCACCCACCTGTGGCTCCCCACAGATGTCGATGTGGTGGGTTTTGTTCTTCACACAGGCCTTCACCACCGGTTCTCCATAGAAGCGATACTGTATACAACACAGGGATAACAGAGGTATCAGAGCGTAGCTTAACCCTTGTCTTGCGGAGCACAACAATTGTTGTTATGCACATGCAGTACCATCTATATAGCACCCTGTATAGGTACGATTTAGGGGTATTTCTCGTGCAACGCATCACACCGCAGCGAAACACAACGAATGCAGAAGTAACTACGCCACTCCAGGGCAAAAAAGTTCAGGGGTCTATGATCTAATTAAGTCATGAAATTATTGAAAAAAATTGTGCCAGGAATGCCAGCAGGACAAGGGTTAACCAGGGTGCAAAGTACGTTTTTCTGCATACTTGCACTGGTGCTGGTAAGTAACAAATTTGAAAACTACCTGCGCACAACATACAGGGACAACAGAGTCATCAGAGCATAGCTTAACACAGTCTGATTCTCTACAACACCTGGTCCTGGTGCTGGGAATGTACTTGATTTGTATTATTATATGTAACAGCATAGCTAAAACTGACATTGGCAATGTGTCACCAGATGTGCAAAGGTAAAGATATATAGGAAGATAATTCTACACTAGAAAGTTCGGAGGCCATGTTGATTTGATTATATGGATGACATCCGCGCGCGCATGAATTTTCGGCCGTTTCCAAAAAAAAAAAGTTTTCAACCATACTGTAAGTCGTACAAAACAGTTGCAAAATGAGCAAAAATATACCGTAAGTTACAAAAAAAAAATGTCGTACAATGCCAAAATCAAACGGAAAAAGACGAAAATGTAAAGAAATGAACTTGAAGACTAGATTATTCGCCAAACCATATTCTGTGCCATTTGTTCAACCTTCATGACCACGTATTTTTTCATAATGAAAACAACTTTTTTTTTTTGCAAAACTTTTTTTTTATTTGCACGCGCGCATCAATTTTTGGGCTCCTGGAGGATGTCATCCATATAATCAAATCAACATGGCCTAAGTATAATCTACATGAAAGCAGCATACTGACTAATAGTACAGTTCTACAGCAGTGGTTAAGGAAGTATGATTTCTATTTATCTTCTCAATAATAACAATCAAATAACAATCTATAAACATAATATTGCTACACAATTATCACTCATCACATCTGTCTTATCTAAAGTACCTTCTATTAAGTATGCCAGTAATGATATTGAGATGATCAAATTACTGGGTCATTGATCAAATTTGTCTTGTTCCAAAAGCAATGAAAAGCGGCCTGCCAATTTGTGCCCCACATGAATAAAGAATGTTTCAAACAACCATTTTGCCAACCCCATCTATACTATCTCAAGTATCTACACAAAGCTACCTTTCTTACATGAGGCCTAGGAAAAAAATGTTATGTTTCCTGTTTCATTCCTGAAAAAGTTGGGGTCGGTAGGTAGGGATTATCTTTCTTCCTTACTTTTTTTTCATATTAGACTTTGTCAATCTCTAGTGATCCAACTTATACAATACAGTGAAACTTTCATGAGGACACATATTTTCAATGTCCATGTTCGAAAACCAATTGCACAACATTTATTACATTACTCAGGTGTCAGAGTTAGAAAAGGTCAATCAGCTTGAAAAATTTATGTCCCTTGCATGCAGTTTTTTTCTGGGGGGAATCAGGAAACAGGAAACACAACATTTTTTCCCTAGGCCTGATCTTAAATGAAGTCAGTTTTGAAAAGTTGGTGACTTACAGGGCCGACACAGTTGAGCACGACCTGTGCCTGTGCGGCCATGTCGTTCAGCGTCTCCTCTTTCTCCACATCAGCTATCAGCACATCCACCACATCCTTCAGGTCTGCCCCTGTAAGGTGTGGAAGACAGAAGAAAGATGTCCAGACTATGCATGATGTACAAAACGACTAATAAACTGGTGGACATCCCAACTACTAAGTACCTAATACCAGCCCAGAAGAGAACAAGAAATAGCCATGCCTTCAAGTACCAGAGTTATCAACCAAGGATTGAGGTGTTCAAGAATTCATTCTTTTCTAGAACTATCGCAGAGTAGAACTCACTGTCACCAAGTACAGTAGGGGCATTGTCAATACATAGCTTTAAACAATGTCTAGAGCTAGAAGTTCATGGGTTAGGTGTAACAAGTCGATCGGTGTAATATAGCCAGCTGCCACCGCGCCGCGTGCCTGCGAAGCTGGTGTGTTAAGCCGAAAGGCGGTTATACCGGCTAAACAGATACAGATAAATGACAGTAAATGTTAATCTTATGATAATATTTTAACTATCATGAAAGTTCATCTGTGTTGGTAGTTACATGTTTAGAGTTAAAACTTTAGATTCAACACAAAAAGTTCTCTGACCTATGATACCCTTCACTTAACCGCAACGGGGGCCGACATACCTTCGACCCAGTGTCGACGTCACACTTCAAAGAAGCCACGTGACAAGCTTCACTGGGTCAGTCTACTGAGGAAGACCAGAGTGACTGGTCGAAAGCTGTAGGTGAGAAATCTAAGTGTGTTGGATCCAAAGGTTTAATAACAAATAATATTTTAAGTGGTGTAATATTAGTGATTTTCCAGAATTTAGATTTGTTCTTAAATTAAAAATTCTCATTTGTAATGTGTAATGTTTAAGTCCTGATAATATTTGAAGGATGTGTTTGTGTACAGAAACGTCTGGCATGTTTTGGCAAGCTAAGTTCGCCGTTTCGAATCCCGCTGTCAGCATTATTTCAATTTTCTTTTTAACATGTCCAAAATGCCAGATCTTTTAAAAGCTCTCCAGAGTTGGCGATGCCTTCATTTAGTTTATTTCTGAGGCCGGCCCAGCTTTTTGAAAAGCTTTTCTTGTTTCTGGAGTGACATCAGCATATAAAAGTGGATGGCACCAGGCCAACTCTGGATTACAGGCACTTGTCTCACCTTTAAGTGGATATAATCACAGGGTCCAGACAGTCGCACAAATAATTCAGTGTGTCTGGACTTTTACTGGGTAAATATTACAAACCAAATCTACCTTTTGAAACTATTATGTAAAGCAATAGTAATTTTTGGGAAAAAGGGCTGTAAAAAATGCATATGCAGAGGATATTTCTGTGGTTCAAACCTGTACAGGCTGTACTAGTGTCGTGGTGAACACATTTGCATTCAAACCACCTGGCTACCTTTAGTGGTCCCTTTAATATTTTAATATTAATAGTTTATTTTTCCCACTGACCCAAGCATTGATTAAGAATCATCAACAGTGAATATCGAAATATGTTTTCATGAGAGTTATTCATAGCTTCCTTTTATCAGTCATCTCTGTATGTCAAAGGCACTTTGCTTGAGTTGTTGTATGACTACTCTCCATGCCCGTAGCCAGGGGGGGTTTGGGCAGGGGGGGGGTCAGAAGAACCCCCCCACAAGGCTCAAAGGTCCACTTTTTATGTAAAGGTCCACTTTTTGGTCCACTTTTATGTAATGGTCCAAGATTTTTCTTGAAAAGATGGACTGGAATCGTAGAAAAACTGCTCCCTTTGTCATTGAATAAAAATTCATCTGTGATATTTTCTTGGAAATCCTCTTAAAAATGCACGAAATGCCATTTTAGAAGGTTCATTTTTCAAAATTTCGAGGGAGAGCATGCCGGACCCCCCTAAGAACCTCGTGCCTATGGCGCTCGAGGTCCCCTCAAGCAGTGGGAAGAACCCCCCCCCCATTCAAAATCCTGGCTACGGGCATGACTCTCCAAGCAGAGGTTTGGGTTTGGCTTATTTTTGGCATGTTTCGGGGGTTTTTATCTGGCTTTCTTTTGCGCACTGTTTTTTTTTCTCTAAAGAACAGGTTTGGGTTTTGGCTACATTTTTGGCGTGTTTTTAATCTTTTTTATTGGCCTTTTTATTACAATGGATTGGTTGGGTTGGCGACTTGGCGTAAAAAAAACAGTGCAAAAAAGAAAGCCCGATAAGAAAGCCTAAAATTTTTTTAAAATCCACTTTTAACGTCATTTTTCACCAAAACGGGGGTTAGACGTGCTTGCATCAAATACAAGTCTTTTTGTTGAAGCAAGATTTTTTTACGGCTTGATGCCCTTCCTAACGCCAACCCAAACCCTAAAAACGCACCAAAAATGAGCCAAAACCTCTGCTTGGAGAGTATCGCATGACCTTGCGTCACAGGCATTTTGCTTGGGTTGTTGTTTGGCGGCTGACCTGTGATAACCTGCAGGTAATTTGCTCTACCTGTCAGACAGGTGAAACCAGGTGTTGAGCCAGGGGGTCTGACAAGTCTCCATTGTTCACAGTCAACTACCTGCATGTAATGATCCACCCCAGGTCATTCACGTGACAGGGGGTTACAGGTAGATTAGAAAGACTGAATCTCCATGCTTAGAACTGGTGTATAGTGGTGCATACCGGTTCACTGGACTTGGATCCGGACTTGTAAGAATGTTTAGGTTCAAGTCCAAAAAAAACTAAAAGTCAAGAACCGAGTCCGGACTTTACCATAAAAGACCATTTCACATACCTCTTTTCTTTCCAAACCACCTAAAACTTTCCGTAGATTGCAAAATCTTTGCTGCAAAATCAAGAAAACATTGCCATCGGGCATCGTCAAGTACCGGCCTCCATCTTACAGTATGTTATGTGGCCAAAGTTTCACCCAGACAACATTGCAAGGTTGCCAACATGCAATTTTGTATATGCCATGGGTTTAGGTCCGGACTTGTGAACCTAAACCTCTGGACTTGAATCCGGACCTGAACCTAAATGTGGGTTTAGGTATGCACCACTACTGGTGTAGCACCAGTCTTGCCATCTCTACTGTAAATAACACTTTAATTTAAAGCCATTGACTGTCAAAATCGCTATTAGATCCCCCAGCAGAATTTCTGGTGCCTAGAAAAAGATGGTGTCAAATTGTTCAGTCATTATGAAAAGGTAGGTATCTAGGTAGGAAGACTGAATCGTTGTGCTTTTAAATGGTGTAGCATCAGTCTTACCATCGTCTTTACTACATGTAGATCACTGCTGTGACTGTTAAAATCACTAAACCTACAAGCAGAACTTCTGGTGCCTACAAGACGGTGTCAAATTGTTCAGTCATTATGACAAGGGTTCTACTGGAAAAGAACTAGATTCAAAGGATTGAACCCACGTTCTTAGAACTCTTTTCCTACTACTAGTACTGTATGCAAATTACAGCAGTGGCTGTCAAAGAAGATTGCAATGGCCTGCTGTCAAAGGCCATGACAGACCATGTGGGTCGTCCAGTTGTTGTCAAAACTCAAATACTAGTATGCTGAAATCATTCTGCTCCACATTATGCAGTTGATGTGTAAAGGAGCATGCTATAAAATGGAGAATGCACGAAGAGGATGAGATGACATCTAATTCTAAGAACTATCCAGATCTAAAACGTCAGATCAAGGACATTATACAGATAAAAGAAAGTACTAGTAAACACAGTCATCCATTGAACTTCTTGAAAAATTATATTCAGAAGTTGAAGTTTTCTTTTATTGCACAGCAGTGTTCAAAAAACATGACAGTGAGGGAATTAGAGTTACTTGATCATTACATTTAAGACTTAATAACATTATGCCATTTCACAGATTCAATATAAATTTAGACAATCAATAAAACGACCCCGCCCTCCCTGTGCCAGACAATTTTCGCCTAGCCTCCATGCCATGCCAAAAACTGGGGTTTTCAGGGTCTTTGGGATCTTTTATGTGCTATTTTCTGATTGCATATAGACAACATGATCGGCCTGGTTGAATTACCCCCGTTTTTTAGAACTGGGCTAATCAGAAAACAGCCCAAGACCACCAAACCCCCAGCTCTATAAGCCTGCTACGGAGGCTAATATTCGCCCCCCTCCCCCTATAACTTGGTATAAGCTACTCACCGATGGTAGCGCCCGCTTTTTCCAACACTTTGTTGAGTTTCTCTTCGCTGCGGCCTGCCACTGCCCAGGTCAGGCCCCTCTCTTCCTCCGAGGTGACTCTGCCGAGTTCTTCCACCACGTACTGGCCGGTAAAGCCAGACGCCCCGAAAACAACAACGTCGTACTTCTTTGCGGTCGCCATCTTGGTGTGACGTCACTTCGTTCGGGCATGCATTCTGGGTAGGTTTCGGGCGAGTTGCATAGTGCACAACCAGCTGAGTATTAAAAACCGGAAAGCGATTTTTGTATGTCACTGTCCTTGAATTTTTCTATTAAATGGTTTATTTGTAAATTGACATAAAACTAAAACAACATTGCAGCCTAATAATACAAAGTAGTGTACAAAAAGCTGAATGACGTAGTTTTAGGGAACACGCAAAATATCATTAATATTTACAAACATAACCAAACTAAATAACAAGAATATATACAATTGGTAGCGGGTAATTACATGGTCTCTTTTATCATTTTTAATAAAAAAATGTAGGCTATAGGTGATCATAGGTATTACGGGTAATGTAGTGGGAACATAGTGCAGCAAGGTGTTGAACCTGAAACGTTACAATTGAATTAAAATGAAAAATAAAATAACCTGAAATGAGCCGAACAAAACATACGTGTTCAGACTTAAAGGGGTATTACGTAACATTTTCGCAAAAAAAATACCAAAAATTGAAACATTTCATTTCGAAAAATATTCCTGGGATTGTATTTACTTCCACTTTTCAACATGTTTAAACTTGTGTATTTCTGACCGTGATTTAGTGATGGTTGGTGTTAAAAAAACAGCCTAAACGAAGAAGAAAAGAGAAAGAAAAAACCCTACTTTTTTTCGGACTGAAAGAGGAAACACCACATGTTTTTCCTAGGCCTAACCGTGCTAGGCTGTGATTGTTATTGTGTAAATTTCGGTGTTCATCACCATCAAATCTGTGCTCGAGACGATCCCGACCATTTATATCTCGTGTGTTTGCGTATCAGGATTACTTTCTGATCGCCTGGATTGAAAATTATTCATCTCTTTTACTGGATGACGAAGCGCATGTCGAATGCGTCCGCACGACCTGCTTTTGAATGGATTATTTTCAATACAAATACGCAAGTACACACCGTACAAAACGTACAGTAGTATGGAATTTTCTTGCTATTAGGCTGCGAACAGTTAGGTATGATGTCGTCAATATACTATACTATACTATACTATACTATACTATACTATACTATGATTATAGAGATTATAGCGATTATGCCAATTGTTAGCACAGACAACAGACGAGTGAAAATTTTTTGAGAATTCGACGCTTGTTCAGGGTTTGACGAGCGTGTCAAAAATGCAGGTTTTTCTTTTTAAACAGCCACTTTGGAGCAAGTCGCGTAATCGTAAAAATATTACTTGTTTGGGACAGAAAAACAGTTGTAGATTGTTTTAGTCATAATTTGTGTATTATAATTTCTAAACTCTCTTGTCAGATCGACCTGTGTTAAACACTAGGTCGGAATTAGGGCACCCCTGTTGCGATAGAACGTTCCACCGGCAAAATGACCAAAAACCTGCCGTAAGTTTCGCGAACCATTACGCTTGGGTGCAAGGCGCTACACTAAAGTGAAATATACAGCTGTCGTTGTGATCTTTATCTGTCAATATTATAGCTCATGTTGCGCGGGTTTTTCGTCAGATAAACTATTACCAAAGGTCTATGCGTTTGCATGGAACATAGGTCGGAATTAGGGCACCCCCCGTTACGTTCTTTATGATTACCCTCCGAGTGAAGCCTGGTAGAGGCTACGTTCTTTATGATTACCCTCCGAGTGAAGCCTGGTAGAGGCTACGTTCTTTATGATTACCCTCCGAGTGAAGCCTGGTAGAGGCTACGTTCTTTATCATAATTACCCTCCGAGTGAAGCCTGGTAGAGGCTGCGTTCTTTATCATAATTACCCTCCGAGTGAAGCCTGGTAGAGGCTGCGTTCTTTATGATTACCCTCCGAGTGAAGCCTGGTAGAGGCTACGTTCTTTATCATAATTACCCTCCGAGTGAAGCCTGGTAGAGGCTACGTTCTTTATGATTACCCTCTGACTCCGAGTGAAGCCTGGTAGAGGCTACGTTCTTTATGATTACCCTCCGAGTGAAGCCTGGTAGAGGCTACGCTCTTCATGATTAGCCTCCGAGTGAAGCCTGGTAGAGGCTACGTTCTTTTTTATTATCCTTGACCGCCGTTTCTTCGAATTCAATGATGAAAACGGCCATATTTTTTATGCTGTCACCAAGTCCTCAGCTTAGCAGCTGTACCGAATAACGTTTGCTATAAGGTCGCTGACGAGTGGCGCTGAGGTAGGCGTTGACTTTACGTTTGAAGTTCGGAAGGTCCCTGGTGTTGACAATTTCCTGTGGGAGACAGTTCCACAGCTTGACTGTAGCAGGGATGAATGTTCTTCTGTGGCAGGAGGATGACGACTTGACAGGTTCAAAGGCCGCTCTGAGTTGGGATGTAGATAGGCGAGTTTCTCGGCGATGTACATCTGAGGGCTCGGGCTAGTAGGCTGGAACATATGGAACGTTTCTCGTTGATTACGGTATGTGAGAAACCGTAGCACTTGTTCGGCCAACTTGCAGCACAATAGGATCAAGTGTAAGACCCGGTATTACAGGACGTATCCTGACACTCGACAGAACACAACACTCGCTTTATTATTAACCAGTCAAAACATAGATCGACTTTTGGCTTCGGTCACACCAAGTAATTCTTATGGATGAGGTCCGCGCGCGCATTGATTCTGGCCTGTTCCCAGAAAAAAAGAAAAAGAAATTCCTCTTCCTGTAACTATGATCAAAGAGTCATGTTCGTGAATATTGGAAGATGTGATGAAAGGAAAGAAACAGGACAGGACGACAACTGCTGTTCCACTGATTTATTGCTGTTTTGATGACGAATACAAGACTTGTTGGTTGTTTCTCTATGTTCCCTTATTCAATGTGTGTCGTAACATTTGTCGTCTTTTAGTATACTTAAAATCTAGGCATCTTGTTTTTTTTTTCTGCCTTCTAGTTTTGTTTTGCATTATATTTAGGGTCTCCAGAGGACGTCATCAATAATCTGTAATAAGTACGGACTTCACTTATGAGAAGTACCTTTCATCAATCCAAAACAAATCATTTGTTGCTAACATAACCAAACTGCGAATCAGTGCACATTGTTTAGAAATAGAAAAAAGGTCGTTATAAGAATGTACCAGCCACTCAGAGACGCTGTCCTACATGTAAACATACTGTTGAAGATGAATTTCACTTTTTATTATCTTGTCCCATGTATACTGAAGAAAGGTTGACACTTATGAATATGATTTCACGTAACTCAAACATTACCTCACCTAAGACAAGGCAGATACTTTTAATTTACTGATGTCATGTCCTGAACCAATATCCTTGTATATAGGCCAATTAATATCCTCTGCTCTTCGGAAAAGAAACAATATCATCTGTGACACCTTGAACTGATGTTAACATTGTATCCATGTTCCATATATATTGTATAATTCATCACGCACAATTATAGGGTAGCGTTAGAATAAGGTATCTAGAAGTAGATTTTAGTATTGTTGTTATCTTTTGACTTAAACACTTGCCATACATTGTATCCATTGCAATTGTTGCGCAATAAAGATTGATTGATTGATTGTAATAAGTATTGATCATTTGATGACTAATCTCCAAGCAGATCCCTTTCGGTGGCAAGACAGAATCCATTTAGCCAGAGAAGTTTTGCCGGCGACCTTCTCTGGCTAATGGATACTGTCTTGCCACCGAAAGGGATCTGCTTGGAGATTAGTCATCAATAAAAATTACTTGGTGTGGCCTAACCAGTCAAAACAGAGAAGATCGACTTTTGGCTTTTGCCTCCACCTGTACGGCAACTGTTCTCTCCAGCAGACCAACTCCCCCGGCATGCTATCTCTCTATACATATTTGGCCTATTTCTACTCTTTCCAGCCGCCTCCCGAAGCCTGGTAGATGATAGCTTTGGCTTGTTTTTGACGTGTTGTGTAGGCGTTTTTTTATCGGGCTTTTGTTCTCATAGTACTAGTATCTTTTTTACACCAACCTTGGATACCGCCTGACTAATTTGATACTATCTTGAAAATTTGATCCTGCCTGGCCAATTCGATACTGTATCGCAGCCACCGAAAGATCTGCTCAGAGATTATCTATGGGCGTGCTGTATGGTTGGTTACGTCGGCGAAGGTTGGACATCCACTAATAACTTGCGCCAAAAAGCAGTTACTCAAAATTTTTTGACTTTCAAAATTTTTTGACTTTCAAAAAAAATTGTCTTCACTTAGTTGCATATCAATCAATAGTTCGTGCTTGTAAACCTGCATTTCTCCTCTGGTCTCTCTAATAGAGTCACTGACAAAAGGTATAGTAGTGGATGCTACCTGAAACGTCTGACCGTTTCCAAAAACATATCCAGTTGCTTGAGTAACTGTTTTTTGGCGTGTACGGTTGGTTGTAAACAATGTAGGCGTCTCATACAGAGTCACAGGCCAGGAGCAGGCTACTCACAGGTTAAACTCCTACGGACAAACCTTTGCCCTCAGCTGTCCATCAAACAACGGCTTCGGTT